TGTATGGATTGTGATAAGAGATGTAAGAGCCCCCAATAAAATTATTTAATAAAAAATTAAAATAAAAAAGGAGGGGGGGGGAATGAGGAGTTGATACCTAGGGCTCAAGTAGAAAGAAAATGTTTTGAAAATGATGATGGCAACCTGTGTATAAGTGAGCTTGACACAATGGATGGATAGATGGATTCTGATAAAAGCTGTATGAGCCCCCAATAAAATGATTACAAAATGTCCTATAGAACTATATCCTGTTGATTTGTATCATTATTTCCTTTATAAGCCACATAACTGTGAGTGTGGTCTTTGAGTTCTGTGGGGTCATTGCAAGGAATTATTAAACCCAACAGATAAGAAGAGAATGCTGTGTCTAAATTTTGGTACATGTTTATGTGTGTATTGGGCGGGGGTGGTAGAGTGAAAAAATAGGGGAGTAGAGGCATATTTGACCTCTGCTGCATAAGGATCACCATCAGCTTCGGACTGAAAATTCTTTTACCTCCCTCTGAAGTTGTATGGCTTCTTACACAACAGGGTATGTGTTACTCTGGGTGGACTAGAGAAACAAATCCAGGGAGACTCATGTGTGTAAGAAAAAGCTTTATATCAAAGGGTAATTGTATATTAAGAAAACATCCCAGCCCAGTCCAGATCACATCCATAAGTCCATTAGGCCCTATGTCCAATACTAAAATACAAATTCCTCTTAAGGCTCACACAACACATGTAATGATGCTGAATTCAGGAAGATCACAGGCCAGTGATCTAGAAAGTGGTAGAAAGTGGGTAGAAAGTCTAGTGGATCCAGTGATGGTGGAAGCATCTCAGTGCTGGTGTAGGTCTCCACGTGGCTCTTCCTCCTCCAGGACTCTGGCTCCATCAGCATAGTGCCATGTAGCTTGTCATCAGGAATGTGTAGCAGAGAGTGTGTGTCCCACCTCCAGGGAGGAAGATAGGAGTTCCCAGAATCCTCAGGAGAAGGCCATGTCCACACAGAGGCCTCGGTGGCTATGATCTGATTGACAGGATAGACCCCACCCCTTTTCAAGTTGGTAGGAGATTATGTAGCTGTTACAGGGTTCTACCAAGATGTTGCCAAAATGTCTAGAGTGAATAATGCTAGACCCAAGCTATGGTTTCCTGGTGTTCTATTAGTATGCTTCCACAGACCAGACTGCCTGCCTTCTCATTTACCCTCATGATTTGCATTGTCAATGCTCACAGGTAAACACCCAAAATGGCAATCTTTGTCACATTCACCCACTATCTAACAGACTTGAGCTGATGACAGCCTGGAGCCTGTTCTAACCCTGAGGCACAACACTGTACGTAGTGCATGCTGTTCATGAGGATTTGTGTTTCCCAGTGTCCAGAAGAACTGCTAAGCCAAAGTAGGACAGGGAAAGGGGACACAGAGCCATGTGGTATCACAAAAAGATAGGATTTTTTGGGGGGATGGACTTCTAAAACTGCTCACCCACAGGAAGGTTAATTAAGGGAGCCTTTCAATGGCACACCTTATAGAAGGAGCCTGGGTGGCTTAGTGGGTTATGAATGGACTGCTGACCATAAGGTCAGCCATTTTCACCCACCAGCTGCTCTGTGGGAGAAAGACCTGTGAAGATGGACGGCCCTGGAAGCCATGGGCAGTTGTGTCCTGCCCTGTAGGGTTGCTATGGCTCTATGACAGCGAGTTTGGAGGTTTTTGAGTTTTTTAAGTGCATAAAAAACCTGACTGACTCCTCCAAGAATGTCACTGACAATTTTTAGGATCGACTTTTATATAAAGTGGGGCACAGAAGCATACATGTGGGAGGAAAAAGGTGTGTGAGGAGGAAGCCACCCTCCCACTAACTCTGCTAGTCCTCTCCAGACACTAGCAATCACATCTGCAAAGATACCTGATGCAGTATAATCTCTCTAGTTAGGGTCTGGTCAGAAGTGATGACCATGCCTTTTCTATATTAATAATTGTGAGTCTTGGTGGAGTAGAGGTTATGCATTGGGCTGTTGACTGCAATGTCTAGAGTCCAGATCCACCAGCTGCTCCATGGGCGAAAGACCAGGCTTTCCACTCTTATAAAGAGCCACAGTCTCAGAAACCCTCTCCCTGGGGCAATTCTACCCTGACCTATAGGATCGCTGTGAGTAGGAATCAACTCGATAACAGTGAGTTTTAGATATTAAGTATTCACCATACTGTAGAACATCAGAAGAACACCAATTAGTGTCACAAACAGAAAACATATTAAAGAAACCATCTTTTATTCTCTGATAATAGTGAGAGCTCCCTGGGAAAAATTAGTTAAAGATTGTAAGATGAGTCAAGTCCAGTGAAGCACTATTCGTTTATGTATGTCAATGCCATGGGGGGAAAATTAATTGCTTATGATTTGTGAACTGAATTTTAAAGTTTGTAGCAAGAAAAAAAAGTGATTTCCCTAACATGGTCCAAGAGGACATTTGTGTACATTCATTACTATAAACTAAATCCATCGGCTTAAAATGTCTCTTTGCTCAGGACCTGAATTTCTCTTTCCTATATCAATTTATCCATCCCTCAAGGAAAGTTAGTCGAATTTCTGTTTCTACGCCCAATTTATCCATGCCTCAAGGAAAGTTAACCCTCTTTCTGTTTCTACTCCCAAATGGGTAATTGAATAATTACCCTTCCATTTTTAAAAAATCACATACATTCTAAAGAACTCATTGAAGCAGTCATTTCTAAAGATGGTTATATAGTAATAAAATGAAGCACCATAAGCTATGGCTACATGAGGATGAGTTTAGAGATGAAATTAGGTGTGGAATGGGTTTTCAAATCTTTTACCAAACATAGGCTCCCAAACTGTGAGAAAGATAAACAAAAATGTCAATATGTGAGAACTGGGTGGGGGGTATCTAGAGGCTCACATGCTCTTTTTACCATTGCACCACTGAAATTTTCCCTAAGCTAAAGTTTAAAAATAGATTTCTCCTTTTTTCCCCTTCATTTAACAAGGCCCTCTTGATTATGATGATTCCATTTTCATGCAGTAGGTGGGGGTAGGATGGGAAGTGAACAAACTAACATGCATGCTAGCAGAGGCTTAGGATAGTTAAAGAGATAAAGAAGATAAAAATGGAGGTACTCCTCACACCTCCTCAGGCCCCACACTGTGTCTGTATCTTTCAAAATCTGTCAAACATAATCTACTGCCAGCTGAACAACATGCAGCTGATATGAAGATTTGTCAGAGTAGGCAGCAGACTGCCTCCAGTCACACTGGCCTGTTCACTTTCTCTCTTACTAGCATCTGCAGAGCCCTGGTGGCACAGTGGGTTACGCATAAGGCTGCTAATGCTAGGAGAATGTTTAAAACCTACCAGGTGCTTTGTGGGAGAAAGCTAAGGCTCCAGGAAAGATTTACAACCTCTGAAAGCCCAAGGAGGCATTCTACCATATTCTATGGGGTCACTATGAGTCAGAATCAACTAGATGACAATGAGTTTGGAGTTCTGGAGGAGCTGAAGAATCAGAGTCCCTTTGAGGGCCTCATCATCCAAGCACAGACTCTCAAGGATCCCCAGCAAACATATCTTAGCCAGAAAAAGTTACCTTGCTAGATAGAGGCTTTAAGAGAGGCTGCTCACCTTCAGGATACAGGTCTATGCAGCATGCCTCGCCACTGATCTTTGACCATAGTTGCTGGCCTGTAGGAGGGGGTTAGACAGATGCACAACCCCAAACGGGCACACATACCACCTTCTGATTCTAGCGCTAAGAATGGGCTGCCAAGTAGCCCCTACACCCTCACACACATACGTAATGCCAAGTCAGCAAAGCCCTAGCCAATGCCTACTGGACCAGAGAGTTCTGTGGAGGCGCAGACAACTGATTGGAGCCAGGAATTCAGTGCCAACGCTTCTGACTCTGCAAGAGGGCGGCGCGAGCACCAGAAACCTGGGTGCCTGCCCAGGCGTCCAAGCAAGAGGATCCCTAGGGCACCAAATGACCACTTCTGTCGTTCTGAAAAGCCAAGCGACCACTCTGGTATCTTCCTTAAAGCTTGGTTGCAGGCATCTACTCTACACAGGTTTCTGGGAAAGCGCACAGTGGCCAAAGAGCCCTTCCTAAGCAAAGTACCCAACTGTCAGAGAGCACACCCAGGTGAGAAACAGCGCCTGGGGCAGTGAGATCATCATTTCAATCCGCAGCTGCTGGGCACTGAAGCCAAGGAACCAGGCTGCCTGCGGGGATGTCGGACAGAGTTCTCAGCTCCGAGCCTGTTCCCTGCGAGATCTGCTCAACGCACCGCCCCCTTGCCCTCCTCTTCTTCTAGGCATGAAGAAGAGTAAGAGTCTCTCTCTGGGTCCCAGATGGACCCTTGTCCCCAGATCTCTGCTCGCACCCTCACCCTGCTTCAGAGGCACCACCCCCTCCCAGGCGATCCCTGCGCGCCTAATGAATCAGGGCGCAGGGCTCCACTGCGCGCCCGGGTCTGGGTCTCCCAGGCGACTTTGCTCCGCAGCCCTTTGGGGTGTGGGGGCACCTGGAGGACCAGGTGCCAAGCTGCAGGCCAGTGCACCAGCCCTCGGCCCGTCCCCCACATCTTCTACCCGTTGTGCTTTGGCCAAAGTCCCACCACCCCTAGCCTCCGGGGTTCCCGCGGAGACTGCCGAGACTCACCTCACGCGCTGCGCCACTGCCGATCGGCGAGCTCCCGCAGGCGCATCCAGAACGTCGGGCCCCCCGCCTGTTCTAACCCTGAGGCACAACACTTTACGTAGTGCATGCTGTTCATGAGGATTTGTGTTTCCCAGTGTCCAGAAGAACTGCTAAGCCAAAGTAGGACAGGGAAAGGGGACACAGAGCCAT